CACAGTCATGCTACAACGCCATGGCTGTCTTGGAGTCGTTTTCACTTAAAGGTTCGCAAGATGTGTTATATTACCCTACAATGCAACAACCTTCGGTGCGTTTTCAAACGCATCGTTTAGCCGAAATTTTTGGATTTCTTTTCTAGGCGCACTTATGCTCCTTTTAGTTACGCCAAAGAATGTTGAGAATTTAGTTTGAATTTTACTTTGTTTACCAAGAAGCTAAGTTTGCAAAGTCAACTAAATCAACTTGTTTCTCTTACAGAGTACTTTCGACGAGATCTGGAAATAGCTGGATTGAGCAAGGCGCTGGACAATCTCACAGCTCACGAAAACGAGAATGTAAAGAAGAGGGCTTTAATCATTCTGACAAGAATTAAGGCTCAAAAGTTAGTGGAGCAGGAATAAGGGACGTTCTGAGATAAACGTCCTTTAATTTACGGAACGTGGGGCTTAAACTCAAAGCCTTGGACTGGTGGATTGGAATAGAGCGGCAAAATTCAGCCTGTACTGCTTCGGGCCAGCCAAGAACGCTTAGCTTAGCCATTCAAAGCTTTAGAAGTGCACCATATTTTTTTCGTACCCAGACTTACCACGGCCAATCAGTTGTAAGATTTCGGTTTCAGTCACACGGTAGGAACTGGGTATGAGATTACACCACATCTAGATTGTGTGTTTAATGTGGAGATCGAACACAGAGGGAATTTTTAAAATTTAAAAAATGGACTTTTTTAACAATTAAACCTAGTAAGTACCAATGAAAAATGTCGTTTTCGAATAGATAAATTTTCTGTCATACAAGTTCGATGGAATAGTTAAAAAATAATGAATAAAAAGCTACGTTTCCTGCTTATCGACTCCGTTAGGACTGGTGCCCACTTACATGCGACAGCGAGCAGCTAGCGCGCGATATTCAGGAAACTGGGCCAAGAATACGCCTACAGATAAACTCCTTTAAGATAAGTCTTTTGAAACGAAAAAGCCGTTTTTGTCACCTGCATTGTCAACAAAGTCTCGTTGAACTGCTGTAAAAGTTCAGACAGGAACTTTTTAAAGGAAAAGAGAAGCTGTATTGGTCACACCGCAAAAGAAAACTTTTTTTGGTTAATTTCACAATTTGTTTTAACATTGCGTGAGCTGCTGATAATTGCCAAAAACAAAACAAGAATTATGAAACTTCTCAGCAGTTTCCCAATTAAGCAATAGACCACACAGCCTAAGGCGAGTGATTTACAGACTTCCCCCAACACCTAACGCCGGTTAATCGATAGAATGTGCAGTCTATTGCTTTGATAAAATAAACTTCGATATTCTACTGGTTTACCGGTGCAACAAACGATATGTTTTGAGATATGTTTTTGACCAATCAGCGCGCTCCTAGTTTCTCAATTATCTAAAACCATTTTGCGGCTGCAAATGACATGTCAAGAATTAGTTTGATTGTTCAGTGTGGGTTGGTTTTCAGACTGAATCCCTGCGTTATAAATATTTTACATTAATAGATTTCTCTATTGATGCATCTTGTTTATTTCGGCACTTTTTTAAGCGTTCGCTTGGCTCTGAAAGTAGCAACTAAAATGTTCACTATTTAGTTTCTTTCCATTATACATGATAAACAAATTAAAATGTTTGAACAGTTCAGTTTCTGTCAATTTTTATTGACTTACGTGAACGGAATATAATGCGAAAGCTGAATCGAGATGGAAAGACTAATTCAGTTTTTGAACTCTCAATCATGCAGGTAACTGATTCGAATTTAGAATTGCCTATTTGGATAACTCTTGGTGTCTCAGGCAGGAGGCTCCAAGGTTTACATTTTCATATCAAATATTAAACAGTGCCTTTGACGCGATTGCGCCGCAAATAAATAAACTATCCAAATTAGTAATGTACTCTCGGTGTCTATTCACGTTAGGTATTAAATTGGTGTAAGGTCGAGGAATATTTCTTGCGGTAACGAGATGGAAAATATTGGAAACAAACCTGGTTTCGTCTTATTAGGAAGTGTAAGCGTTAAAAAAGGTGAAGAAAAATAAAAAAAATAATTTTACGTATGAAAGTGTGAAGAAAGGAAATTAATTTTCTTCGCTGCATGCTAACAACTCTTGAAGTTTTGAAATTTTATTTTGTCAGTTTTTTTGTCATGAAAGTGTAGTTTAAGTTTGTGTTAGAGTTATGTAATAAGAAATCTTGCATAACACTGGATACAAAAAACAAAGGGAGGAAAGTTCTAAACATAGAATGGAATAAAGCAATAAATAAATAAAATCCACCTGTCGTAGTTAGCACATTAAAATGAGTCTTCCTCTTAGCATGAATCATTGTGCAAGTTTGTGTTCACAGCTAACCCACTTGCCTATCAGGGTTTTGAGTTCCTCTGTAAATTGGCGCAGTTTAGCGTGATAAACCAATGATAGGTGATATGGCGCCTGTTCGCCTTGATGACCTGCTTTTCGAGATATAAGTGGCCATCCATGGGCGGTTATTATAACAAATCGTTTTAAATCATAACATCTCGAGCTGAGCTTTGTATTGGACTGGGAAAGTCTGTGAATGCAAGTTGCCGGCTTTTCCATCTTCGTTGTCGTTTTGGCGGAAGTGAATTGCTTCAAATTCATTCGGGATAGTTTTGTTATCAAATGGCAGCTCATCCAAGTCAAACTAAAAGCCGCTGGAAATATTACTCAACTCATTATGGCCCGGAAAAATTTCCTACGTCGTCTTCGCAAACATGTAGCCCAGAAGAACAAGTTTCTTCGAAGCCAAACACAGAATATCCAACCTATGGGCGGCAACGAAGTTTTTTCCCCCTTGGGATTGTCAGTGAGTGCGATTTGAAAGAACTGCGTCCAAGTGCTGAAAGGTTGAACTCCCAGGAAAAATGTAGGAGCTTCCCTTGTCTTACTTCCTCCAGTCCAGCAAGATGGGGAACAAAGTTTGTATATTCACCTCCCAGAAGTCCAGGAAGTGAAGAAAGCTTTGACCACGTGCAGTCAACCTTGACAAAAACTCCCGTACGCGGGAAATTTCGGAAAAGAATGTACAGCTGCCCGAGCACCCCTGTCAACGACTTTCTTCGCACCGAAGTTCCAAATTTATCAGCTATTATGGTACAAGCGCAGTCGGTTCCTCTTGTGAGGCGACGTTCACAACCCTCGCCGACTTCCAGGTTTAAAACAACGGCCAGTTCGACGGGAAACCCAAGCCGATCTCTCGAACGCACGGCCAGCCTTTCTTCCATAGAACGTGCAGTTGCAAAGAAACCCAGCCTTGCGGAAAAATCTAGCGATTCACGAGAGAATACACAAGAACTATCTAAGTCTCTGTCAGAAATTAAAATCGAAGATGGTGTAATTGTTATCAACAACGGTAAAGCTATCGATCTGAAAATGGACAAGGCCAGAAAACATAATCGCAGCAACGAAGGTAGAAGAAACTCCGAAGCAGCCAAGAGTAAAAGTTATCGAGAATTTCAGGAAGCCATTCAAAAGTTGGAGGACGCACAGCTGAATTTAGAAGGCGAGGTGAACGCTAAAGCAAAGACGTTCGATACGAGAGAGAAAGAGGAGAAGTTTTTTAACGAGAATGTACAACCACATTTCCTTGATTTACTAACGACTGTGAAAGGAAAGAGAAGGAAGCCTAAAGGCAAAAAATATAAATGCTAAGTTTGTGGAGGTTGTCTGGGCCACTTATCGAAAGTCGCAATTGATAAGCCACATCGGTTTCTTTAAAAAGAAAATTCCGTGACTGGCCTGACTTTTCCAGCAATATCAGTTAATTTCTAAATTTTATTGACTTTATTCTGACGTAGCTGTTTTAGAGATCGTTTAAAATTGTTTCAAAATTCTCGTGTTTCATTTTTGGACTGAACGACTCATGATTCCCAATTAATTTTAGCGCCCTGATACTGACAGGTGAGGAATTTGAGAAAAAATTTCTTCAACTTGTTGTTTTTCCGAAAAATGATTTTAAAGCGCAATATGAGGTACTTGTCTATAAATGTAAATGACTTTTGTAGAGCTGACTCGAATCATGGCAAAAAGATATGATTTAGTTCCTATTCCGCTTGTAAATTTTGTCCTTTGTAGGCCGACTCATTTACAAAAAATTTTTCCTCGTGTGTTGAATCTCTTGTCTGACCTTGGAAATGACTTGTTGTGCTTTGGATGTAAAACATCCGTTAACTGAAACCGAACATTGCAAGTTTATGGATAAATTGTAAACAATGAATTATTAAGGCTCTGCAATAGTTCTTGGGCTCGATCAATTTTGAGAGTAATTGAACTGCGTAGATTGAGCCAGTTGGTATTCAGCCAGCAGAGATGTCTTCGGAACATTCTTTACCGAGATCAGCTGGTTTAGGAGAAAAGTTTTTCCGAGACTGATGGTGAATTGAAGAAGAGTGAATATTTATTTTTTTTTTAATACTTGGTTAATTTAGCTTGACAATACGAGGTGGGAGAGATGATCATCAATGTTTTGATATCTTCAATATAAACACGTTATTTTTAGAATAAAATAGTGTTACAACGGCGATAGAGTGTAAACATCTCTTAGGGGTGCATGACTAACTTTCGTCAATCCCGGCAAAATGATCTCAAGCGATTTTCAGCAACGCACTTCTGTGTGTGTGATTGATTAGGCTTTTTCGGTCAAGATGCCTGGATTAAAAATTCTCTCCTTGTTCCGTTTTTTTTTTCGCGTTTTACATACCGATCGTCAGCTTTCTTTATAAAGAAAGTCCCTATTATTTGCCCAAAATTTCGTCCTTAATAAATTTTTCTTTCCGCTGCAACAATGATGTGAGTGCCCTCGAGCTGGGGAGAATAAATTTCTGACTGGCTAATAGCGTTGGGAAACTTTCCGAGTATTATGACGACAAAATCCTGCGGCTATTGATCTCAGTTACTAAGTACGATTCAAGCTGTCGAAATCATCTTCAAACTCATTATCGCACGGGCCCTGGGTACGAGAACTTTGCAGTCGGAAAAAGTCCTACTCGGAAAGATGGCGATATGAGAAGTGTTTTGAATCGCTTTGTATGGACACATTTTATTACTGTTCTTTCCCAAAATGAGCCAAAAAAGAGTTGTCATCGTACCAGGAAACGGTGATGGAGATGTTGAACGAAGTAACTGGTATGGCTGGCTCCAAAACAAGCTTACAGAGGTGAAGCAAGATACCCTCTCAGAACGCCTCACTAGTTCTCTCTGATGACAGGAATAGATCAGTTAATATGTAATTTTTATTTGAAACATTACTATTCTTTTTAGAAAGATGTAGAGTGTGTTCTGAAGAATATGCCTGATCCAGGTATGCAAGAAACCGTTTTATTAGAACAATTTTGAAATCCGGAAGTACGGCTTAAAGAAATCAGACCTGTCTTAAAATGGGGGAACTGTAGCCCCCCCCCCCCATCAAACTTTTGCAGGGGGGGGGGGAGAAGGAGCATGGTCTTTTATAATTTGTTGCAGTATAATTGAAGCATAAATCAGGCTTGCTAAAATGTTCAGTCTGAATCAACCCCTCTAAGGAGTTTATTTTACAAACAGCTACCAAGTTATGCATTGTTAGAAATAGGTCAGCTAGTCTAGTGCAAAATGAAATGAATGTGTCATGAGATAATTATGTGCTTACAGCTGTCGTGCACTTCAAGTATATTTGGAAGTTATGCTGAATAGATATGATTTGGTGCTTACCAAAGTAGTTCTCAAGGAAATTGTTTGATAGTCTATTTGATAATTATGACAATGAGTTCTGAGTTTTCAAAGCAAATTGATGCATGGGAGAGTTTTTCAACCAATCAGAAGCAAAACTTAATAAAGTATGAATTCCAAAGAACACAACAGCAAATACCATATTTCTTGGAAAATTGTGACAGGCTACTTGTCTTCATGACAATGATGTTAAATAAATTGGTGCTTCTCATCATTTATAGTGGTGGCACGTGAAGGAATATGGATTCCATTCATGGAGAAACAGCTTAATTGTAACAGCAACACTGTGATTGTTGGGCATAGCTCTGGGGCCCAAGCTGCCATGAGGTGATTTTAGTGAAAAATATTATTGATGAAAAGTTTATCTCTTTGTAACATGTCCACAAGTCAAGGTTAGAAGCATACCACATTTTCATGATCAACAACTTGCCCTGTCCTTGTTAAAGTACCTATTGGTTGACATGTGATTTTAAACTTACAACAGTTTAAAAAAGATGAAAAGAAAAAATTGCATAACATTTGGAAGGAGTTATCTTAATAATATCAAATTCTCCTAAATAAGTTGAGGGAGATTTATACCAGCTATATGGGAGAGTTGGAAATTTGATCAAATTGTGAAATTCAAAGGATTGTACAGTGGTCAAAAGGAATGTGAGTTCAGTTTTCAAAGGAGAATGGAGAGAGAGATGGTAGTAAGAACGAGGAATTTTTCTCTATTTTCCCTAATTTGGTCTGTTGGGGCAGACTAGTGACCAATTCAATGACAATGGCAAATTCTGCATCCTCGACTCAATGTATATAATTGATAGTTCTGTTAGTAGTAAATTTGATTGTAATATCATTCTGTAAGACTATATATTTTGTAACTTAAGCTTGTTTTTTTTTTTTTTCAGTAGTTCTTATTTATCCAGATAGTTTATTTAGTTACTTTACAATTATTATTATCTGTTATGACTGCTGTAACCTTTCCTCTCCGCCTGCCTCGTCTAGCTTTTGCTATTTGTGGGTGGAGATGGAAAAATGATTTGCATGAAATAAAGTATAGTGTGTAATTCTAAAAAAAAAAAAATTTTTAGGTAAAATGTTTATAGTAAATACAGTTAGTGGCCGAATGAACAAACTGATGTTGATTAGGTCATGTGGCTTGTGGTTTTTGTTTTTGTTTTTGTGGCACATGGTTTTTGTCTCAAGAGTATTTTCATGTTGGGGACAGCGATTGCTTTGTTCATTTGTTACAGTTTTTTTACTTTTCCCACTCTTCATTGCACAGAATATGTTAGTATGAAGTTTGTATCTTCCTTTTTACCCCTGTGTTGTTAATTTAGGTTTTCTTTCTTCAGTTTCTACAGTGGAGGTAGATCAAATCGAGACAACAGAAAATGGTAGACATGTCTGTAATTTGAAAGTTGTACACAATCACCAATTGACCTGGCTCTGGTTGTTCGAAGATCACATAATGCTATCCACTGGATAAATCTCTATCCGTTGGATAGCATTATCCGCCCTTTATACAACTGGGTTCTGGATTAAAGTATTGTGTTCTACAACTATGAGTCAAAAAAGCTCTCTGTAAATTGTTCCAAACTCAATCCACTCTCCATCATGTTGCCATTTGTGTGCTGAACATGGAAACAAGCTAAAAGAAGTAAATTAAAGATAGATGGCTACGACAGAGTGTACCTGCAAGTGTAAAAGGTACTTTGATCAAAACACCCATGAAAACATGAGACCTGAAAATTGCAAATTCTTACGAGGTGTGGGTCTTCAAGAGGTTTCATAAAACAAAGTCAAGACTGTTTTTTGTTTCTCCACTTTGCACTCTACAATTCTGTATTTTGTTCCTTTTACTCAGATATGCAGAGAATCATTGTGTGCTTGGTTTGGTTCTGGTTTCAGCCTGTGTGACAGATTTGGGAGATCCCAATGAAAAAGCAAGTGGTAAAGGAAAATTATCATAACTTTTTTTCTTAGTTCTCCTCATCCTCATTATCACATTTTGATCACTACATAGCTTGCATTTGTTTTGAAAGTATTAGCTGAAAGAATTGTTTTCACAGGTTATTACAGTAGGCCCTGGGAGTGGGAACAGATTAAGCACAACACACAGTGGATCATTCAGTTTGGCTCGACAGATGACCCTTTTATTCCATTTAGCGAACAGAAACAAGTGGCGGAAGGAACTGGTGCCGAGTTCCAACAATACTCTGATAAAGGGCACTTTATGTCAATGGCATTTCCTGAACTTCTTAAAAAGTTGATGGAAAAATTATAGGGAAGCTGATTTAAAAAATGGATTTATTCAGGGGTGGGTTTTAATCAAATGAGCATCAAAAGTACCATAATGGACTGACAAGATTTTGATAATTGATGCATCCATAACCTTTTAACTCCCACAAGTGATCAACAAAAAACTTCTCCCTATAATATCCTTACATTATCCACCAAATAGGTGATGAGAATGTTTAAACTCATCAGTTAGAAGTTATCTTGATCTAACACCAAATTCTCATTACTAATTTACAAGGAAATGTGTAACAGCTTGAGGGGAGAATTAACAATTTGATCTTGGGAGTTAAAGGATTAAGAAGTTAGAAGTTAGGTAAGAAATAGTTACTAATTTCGTCCATTTTCAGAGTTGAAGTCTGAATAGAAAGGTGTAAAAAAAAAATAATAAAAATACTGTCATGATTGATTGGTCTCAATTCATAAGACAAATTGCATCAATCTGATGATGTCCTCTAAGGCTTGAAATACCAAATAAACACTCTTGCCCTAAGACTGATTCCAACACTTGCTCTTGAGCATTTCCAACATGTTCAACAAACTGTGACCCTGTTATTTGTAGAAGCTGTTCTGCAGCATGATCTGTCAGAGATGCCTCTATGCTCTTCTCTGAGTCATGTAACTCAAGACTCAAAGTATACTGCCACTTCCAGTACATGGATGGGGATTTCTGAAATCACAATTGTTTTAAAACAATTATTTCACAAAGGTTAGATATGATCAAACTTTCCCCAGCATCAATCTTAAATAAGTTTTTAAACTGTAGCTGACATTCATTCAGTGAAAATCTGAAAAAAAGTTGAAGTGAATGGAAAATGTAGAGTGATTGAAACAATTGAGCCAATCTTGATCAAAATAACAATGCTTAATTTAACTTTCTTCAAAAGGATTTAGCATTGTTATGGTAACCCTATATGTGATCTCAACTTGTTGAGAAATGGTTAGGTAATCTCTTTTGGAATACCATTTTCAAGGAAACTAAAGAAAAACTGTGTAAACATCAATCCATCAGAGAACTGAAAGAAAGAAAAATCAGCTTTGAACTGTGTTAACTTATCATTAAAATTACAAGTATAAAAGAAATGATCGCCAACCTGAGAAGCTTTGATTGTTGAACAAATTCTCCTTGTCAATACGAAAGGAAATATATAGACAACAGTACAGAGAAGATGCACACTGATGTTAGAGTTCAAAGGGTTAAGACTCACCAGCTGATTTGGCTTGTTGAGCATTTCATTCAAATGAGTAACTTCGCATTTTTTGCAGAAGAAATTCCCACTGTTACTTTCCACTTCCCTGTGGCATGACATGTGAACTCTAACAGCATGTCTGCCACTGATGCCGTGGACTTGAATGACGACAGCTTGACACACACAGTGATCAAACTTGACAACATCTTTGACAGGCACTGGAGATGACAAGCACTTGCTTGCCAGCCATCCAGTCATTGCGCTAAGATTCCAGATCCTTCCACCATTGCTTGTCTCTAAGGTTAAGGCTTTGGATGAACTTGCACCTGTTTTGGAAAGAAAAAAAATTATTCAGTTGTCACAAGTGATCAACATGTAGCTTTTCTTCAAAAATCTCAGTGCATTGTAAAGCAGACAGGTGACTAGCATAAATATCTTTATCAAATTCTCGTAACCACAGTGCAAGGAAATGAATACAAACTAGAAGAGAGAAATTACAACACACATCGTGGGTGTTAAAGGGCAAAAGAAGATGACTGCTGATTTAAACATGTCATTTCATCGTTACCTCATTAACTCCTAAGATCTCAAAAGTAATTCTCCTTGCTATCTGCCATGTAATTCTTGTGGTGTTAGTTCAGAGAATTTGGTTCTGGATCAACAAGTAATCCCCTAATTGATATTATTCTTTATTATCCTTGCTGGTCAGCTTGACATTGTATCGATATTGTAAGGAGAAATTTTGTTGTGGTCACTCATGGGAATTGTGGAGGCGCTGTGGCCTCATGGTTAGTGCGCTCAACTCCAGATTGGGTGGTCTGGGTTCGAGCCCTGGCCGGGGTCATTGTATTGTGTTCTTAGGTAAGACACTTAATTCTCACAATGCTCCTCTTCACCCAGGTGTACAAATGGGTACCAGCAAATGTGCTAGGGGTAACCCTGCGATGGACTAGCATCCCATCCAGTGGGGAGTAGCAATACTCCTAGCTACTTCATGCTAAGAAAACCGGAGTTAAGCACTGGCCCCATGGGCCACTTGGGCCTGTATAAAGACTTACTCATGGGAGTTAAAGGGCTAAGGGTAAAAGAGTTACATGAGGCTAACTTTACCAGTAACACTGGATTAGGTTTTATAGTGAACTGGAAATGATCTTACAAAAATCTGAAAAAACTCTTAACCCTTTATCTCCCAGATCAAAATTGTAATTCTCCTTACTGTCAACCGTACAATTCTTATAATGTTAGTTCAGAGAATTTAGAGTTGGATCAACTAATTATCTCCAAATTGATATTTTTCTTTACTCTCATCACTTACCTGGTTGATAATGTATTGATATTGTTAGGAGAAATTCTGTCTTGGTCACTCATGGGAGTTAAAGGGTTAAGTATTTCAAAAAATTTTCATCAAAAACTCTTGTTGCAAGAAACTGATAGAACCATGGTCTACATAAATATTTTTCAACACAATAATTTATTACTGTATTAGTTTAGGCTTGGTATCATATATAATCCAAAGAAAGAAATTTTATCATAATTCTGAGTTTTGTTGACATGTCATCTAAAAATACATTTCTTACCAACATAGCATACAAACAACCATTGTTTGATTGTCTAGTCACAAATTACAAGACCAGTGGTCTGACAAGAAATCCCTTTGTTGGTATCCAACCTTAAATTTATACCTACCTGGAGCACAAACATTTTCCAACAAAACATTTTGGCCAGCAAAAAGTGAATCATAATAAATTCTGTTGTGATCATAAATTGTAACAGTGTGACTGTTGGTAGCATCTGTGACAGTTAAGATGAACTTGTGTCCTGCTACTTGCTGTTGTGTGAAAACCTCCATGGTACTCACATTGGTTATGGTACAGAATACCGTCACCCTTGTCATGTTTGATTTGATGTCCCTCAAAAAGATGCGTTCAGGAAAGGTCGAATAGTCCAACATCCCTTGACTGTCTCTGATAACACTCACAGGGGTCCCCTGGGTAGTGGAATTTTGGCTTGGAATTGTTTCATGTTCTGGGGCATGTGACATGCAAAATATGACTGTAGCTGGACCATATTCCAAGAAAAACAATTCATCCTGGTTTGGGACCACGTACGGTTGCTGAATAGCCAGTATGTCGCCTTCTTTGAACAGGTTTGCTAAAGGGAGTTGTTCATCCCAGAGGTATAAATTCACATGAACGTCGTCAGAATCAACCACTTTCACGCATCTCTTGTTACTCGTCTGGCCATTAGGAAAGTGGACCGCTTCCTCAAAGCCTAAATCGGCGACTTCAACCTTAACACTGTGACCGTAATGGGGAGAAGGACTCACATTAATATTTTCAAGCGAGCCAAACTTTCCAAACTGCAATAGTTCGTCCTGCTGGCATAAAATCACTACATTTTCCGATGGCAGAAGATGAACTTTGTGACTGGCCGAAGAAAAACTCAAACCTTTTCCTTGTATTAAGCGACAGCTGGTGAAACGCAAGGTGAGTTTTTTAACGCTAGATTCGTTCAACTGGTAAAGCTTTTGATGTAGGTACATTCCCAGAGTATTTCTGCCTCTTGTCGAATCTCGCAAAATGGCAATCTTTGTGTGAGTATCTGGAACTGTTTCAATATTTTCCACGGCTGCTTCAAGGATTGATTCATATCCTATGCGCCTGCTTTCAAAAACAGAATCAACAGATACCTTTCGCGCTCTCTGTTCCTCTAGAAGTCCCTGAAATTGACTATGTTGGTTCCATGACTGTTGAATCTCTGCCAAAATAATCGCCTTGGTGATTCCCGAGGGATAACGAGACAGAAGAGAGGCGAGTTTGATAAACAGCCAGTTCCAGGGCGGAATACATTTTCCATTTGTTCGATCTTGAATGTAGTTCCTCAGTGAAGTAACACACTCTTCAAACATAACGGCAGGGAGTAATCGACAGAATTCTTTAGCAATTTTTCATTTTATTTTTCCCGCCTTGACTTGGTAGCCAGTCCATAGCGTGGTTACCTAGTCTCACTTCTAGGCTCTCTCTGCTGTCTCTCAGCTTGGTTACCAAGATATTCGACTTAGTCCCCCACAAATGAGCGCGTTCAACATGGCGGTCAAACTTTTGCAAAATATATATTTGCTTCTTTAATATTGGAGGCAAATGGCTTCCTCAGTATTCCATTTGCCTAATTATTAAGTGCCTACTGCAATGGCCTATCACAGGCTTTTTTCATTATTGAGGTGTTCGAGTCTTCAGAGATGTTTTAGTTCGAGAAGACAGGATGAAACTATCATGAACGTGTTTGATCGAAAGGCAAAGAGAAGGCAAAAGAACAGAGCGGCAATGGCTGAGGATGTGGCGGTATATGATTACCTCAGAGATGAGGTCAGAAAATTATTCATATTTTTGTATTTGTTAAGTTTGTGAGATAAATTTCAGTATCTGAGCATTGCTGCGCATCTAACTATAACCCTCCGTTTAAGTCAACCGATAACAAGTTCGGGTTAATGTTGGGTTAGGGGAGGGGTAGGTGTGTAGCTGCTCAGATGCTGACATTGATCCAGTTTGTGTGGGATATGCATGCTGAATGCTGGGTGTAATCTCATTCTGGGTGGAGTGGGGGGAGAAGGTGGAATGTAACTGGGTAAAATTTCCGCACAGCCCCATCCTACATTATGCATTCAGTTCTTGAACAGAGAAAACAATGACAAAAACAATACATTTCCGTTGGGAAAACAGATTTGTTTTACAATAGTATGGGGCTGTGCGGAAACTTTACCTGTAACTGTTGTCAGAGTATAGCGGGTAATTTAGTGTTGACAACTGAGTTGAAAACGTAAATTGGCCATGGTAAAGAGTTAAAAGGCTGATGTTTCAAGCTTTAGCCCTTCGTCATTGCTCTGACAAAAGTTTTCAACTCAGTTGTTAACACTAAATTATCAGCTATACTGTACACTCCCACCTACGTAGCACTACAGTTTCTTTAGAAACTTACCCCCTTTATTCGTATTATTATTTTGTTGTCAGAGTAGTTGCAAAAGTGAAGGCTTGGAAAATAATCATATTTACCTAGTGTGGACTGGACAGAGATTAAAATGTGACAAGTAGTTTCTGTAATGGAATGGTACTTTTTGATTTTTCTACTTCATTTGATTTCTGCATTGTCCCTTGAAATGATCTTTGTCAGGTGCAAAGACAGTAACAACAACAACAACATAAACAACATCAACAAAACTAAAACACATTAAAGACATTTAGGCTGTAATAAAAGCACAAACAGCTCTTAATAGCAAATTAGTAATGGATCTCTAGTAAATTGTGCAAAGAAATCTTTCTCAGGAGGTTGATGGTTGGAGTGACAGGTGGGTCACCATGATACATAATTCAAGACACTACACTCCCTCAGTGTCTCCTTCTAGGAGTATGAATTGGAGCCAGAAAAAATGTCTGGGAAAAGTGGTGTTGAGCAGCAAATGGGGTAGAAATGGCATATGACGAACTAGCATCCAATCCTTAACCTTTAATGTTTTTTAACTTCCAGATATGATCAACTTGAAACTTCTCCCTGTGATTCCATATATTACTTTGCAAGTAGGTTATGAGAATGGACATGCTTATCAGTTAGAGGATGTCAAAATGAAATGACACCCAACTCTCTCCTCTCAATTTACAAGGGAATGTGTAGTGGCTAGAGGGAAGAATTACTAATTGGATCTTGGGAATGAAAGTTTACAGGAATAGTAAATATTCCTTTAAAAATCTTCAAGTTGGTATGTCATTAGCAGTAATTTATCATGAGGCTCATAGTTATGCAAGTTACCCAGTGATATTGGATTATAACCAGTAAATTTGTTTGTTTTTTTTTCCCAGGTTGCTGAAAGGATGGTCGACAGAATAGGAGACATCTCAAGGTTTGTCTTTGTAAATATTTTTGGTTGTGAGGAAAATTATCAGTTTACTTTCCTTTCTTACTTTATTTTCTTTTCTCAGACATTTTCCTATGGCTCTGGATCTTGGTTGTGGGAGAGGACATATTTCAAAATTTCTTACAAAGGTTGGTACTGATTCTGTTCAGGTAATCCTAACTAAGGTTATTAACCCTTTGCTACCTAATATCAGTATGCATATTCTCCATACTGTTCTGTACACTTTTCCTAAAATGTTGACAAGGAGAATTTGTTTGACAATCAAGAACTTAATCTATAGTTGGTGATGATTTCCTTAATGTGTGATCTAGGGGTGATATTATTAGGAGAAATCAGATGCACTCCTAGGGGTCAAGGTGTTAACCCTTTCACTCCCAAGATCTAATTAGTAATTCTCCTTACTATCTGCCATACAATTCTTATGATGTTAGTTCAGAGAATTTGGTATTGGATCAACTAATAATCCCATAATTGATATTCTTCTCTATTCTCATCACCTACCTGCTTGATATTGTATTGATATTGTAAGGAGAAATTCTGTCTTGGTCACTTGTGGGAGTGAAAGGGTTAATGAAGTAAAATTCTTTAGGTTTGTTAAATGTTACACGTAGTTTGTGATTATTCTTGTAATGATCTCTTGATAACTTTATGATTGCTTTAGAGCTTCCATGAATGCAGTATTTTAATTGGCCAGTATTGATACGTCTTTTTTTTTCCCTTTTTAAGGATCAAGTTGGGACCTTAGTTATGTCTGATATGGCAGAAAATGCATTGGTAAGTACAAACACTGCTGCTTTGATCAAAGATTAGGAATCTTAAATCTATGATTATCAGACCTGTACATGTAGGTTTTTTTTCATTCCTTTCCTGACAGGATAAGGAATCTCAAATCTATGATTGTCAGACCTGTAGATTTTTTTTGTTCCTTGTCTGAAACCAAATTCTTGCAAAAACACAATCATATGTTACTACTCATTTTGAAGTAAAAGTGTTTTTAAAATTTATGTATTAATTAGAAATAATTCTCAGCTTAGTTAGGCTCTAGCATCCAACAAGATCAAAGGTGTCTAGTAGATCAAAGGTTGGACCCCCCTCCTCCTGTTAAAAAATTCATAGACACCCCTCCTCCCCCACCACACCTTTAACTATGGCTGGAAGGGGTAAGATCTTGGTTAGAGGGACATTTTTATTACCAAAGATATGCGTTAGATGATGTGAATTCATACAATTTGTTTTATGTTATTGTTGTTTTTTTTGCCAGAATCAGTGCCCACCCTGTGAGATTCCATCTGTAAAAGTTGTGGCAGATGAAGAATTTCTTCCTTTTCCTACCAACAGTTTCGATCTTATTGTCAGTAGTCTGAGGTATGTCTTCAAAGGAATTTAAATTTTGTGTCAAATACCTTTCAAAAATTGTTTTCATTACTTTTAAACATTTCAAACAGACTGTCAACAGCCATGATGTTATTTAACCCCTCAAAAATGTTATTAGTGATTTCCTTTCTCTATTTTTATTTTCCTTTACAGCCTTCATTGGGTCAATGACTTACCAGGAACATTTAGCCAGGTATAACACAGGATAAGAACTGTAAACTTCATATTTAGTGGGTGTGGCTGACAAATTCTGTAGGATTTTCCCCATCAGCCTAATGCTTGTGTTTGGTGATGATTATGTTGTATTTATATTGTAAAATAGGTTTTGGTTGGGGCAAATAGCATGTCCAAAAGCAAAATGTGATTGTTTGTCCAGAAGCCTGGATGCTGACAATAAAAAAACACAACAGCAGGAGAGCTGTGCAGCAATGGACTACCGAGGAAACCTGTTCCGAAGATGCACCAATCACAGCTGTGGAATTCCATCCAATCACAGTTGAGCACTTCAGCATATAGGTGGCATATTTTATACTCATTGGACCTCATCTTCTGAAGAAGACAAGCAGCTAGTATACAGTCAAAATGTCAGGATTCACATCCAAAGCGACCACATTGTGAGACAAATGATTACATTTTTTTGAAAATGTTGTATTTTTTTTCAACAGATCTTTCATTGCCTTAAAGCTGATGGAGTCTTTATTGGAGCCATGTTTGGTGGTGAAACTCTCTACCAGTTGAGAGCTGCACTGCAGTTGGCTGAAACTGAGAGGGAGGGGGTAAGTACAAGCCAAATTCAGCTAAGTTGTGGGGGTGGGGAAGGGTGGAGAGTATAGGGAAGTATTAGCTGACTTAAATACCAAGGGAAGGAATTGTTCTCTCAATAAATTTGGGAATAATTTTCATTTTTACTTTTTGGACTTGAAGTATGTGGCAGGTTGTTTTGGTCTATAGTTTCCATTGAAATGAGCCTGATCTTTGAATTAGAAAAAAAGAGAAATATAACAACAACAAAAGAATGCAAAATGCTTTGCTGAGACAAGGTGTTTTTGAAAATGAGAGCAGAAGATCTTAGAGTTATCACAAAAACTGTTCGCTTGGTTGTTGCAGGGGTTTGCTGCTCATATTTCGCCATTTGCAGAAGTACGAGATCTTGGAAATCTTCTGACAAGAAGTGGATTCTCTCTGACTACTGTTGTAAGTTGGAGCAAGAGTTTGTTAAATTTCTGCAAACTATTTTAAAAATTAACAGTAAGTGGTTTGAAAGAGGAATAAAAGGACTTTGCTTGCTAAAATGCACTTTAGTGATGTCACAATTTTCACCTACCTTGTGTTGATATCATTAATTTTGAGAAAAATGGTCAACAGTTATGAAAGCCATTAAGTTTTATTAGGAAAAAAATTCCTGTCTTAGTGTTATTGTGTATTAAATCCTCAATTGTACATTAGCCCTATGAATTTCATCAAAAGAAAGTGATTGATGTTAAATAACCTCAGTGGAAATTTGCATAAGAGTCTGGCAAAGACTTGTTAACCAGTCAAATGCCTTATGTCTGGTTTATCTTTCTTATTTCCATCTACAAACATTGCGCTATTGACACTGCTGATCCTAGCAGTATGCTGGTCATGTGTCACATGACCTTCATAATAGACCTCGCTCACTGTGGAGTCTTTGTGGCCCAGAGCATTGGAGCACGGAATCCAAAGGAATCTAAAGGTCTGAGGTTTGATTCCTCATGGGGACTCAGAATTTTTTTCTTTGTCCCACACTCGTTACAAGACAAAAAAACATCTTTCTTTATAAAAATGGATATGTCAGATTTGATGCAATTTCTTAGGTTATAAGCTGTAATTTTTTATTCACTTATGTTGGTAAGTTTAATTTGTTATTTTCTCATTGAATTCTTTTTAGGACTTTGATGAAGTAACTATAGGATATCCCAGCATGCTCGAGCTCATGCATGATCTGAAAGGAATGGGAGAAAACAATGCAGCATGGAACAGGAAGACATTACTGCACAGAGACACAATTTTAGCAGCTTCATCCATTTACCAAGGTAAGATATAGAATCCTTTTACTGTTTATGAAATGGTTATAGGAAAAAACTGATGTACAATTGCAAGTTTGTGGTGTTTAATATCAATTCAAGAAATAATCAGTCTTGGAAACTTTTGAATACATTTAAAAAGATAGTGTTAAACTTCTTAATCAATACTGAGACAAAATTCTCAATCATTACTGGTTATCATCAGCCTGATTTGAGCACTAATGGGACTGTGTGCAGGTCATGCTTGTAATCAGACAGTGTAATAGAACAGTTAATGTTTCATGCTTGTGGTAGTAAACATTGGGTGCTCTTGCGGTAGTTGAACTTTTTGCTAATAAATTCTCAGTTTTTTTGAGAACATACTGTAAACCAATGGGTAGTTTGTTTCTCATGTTTTGTCATAGTTTTGATCTATTTGTAACAGGACTTTCTGTTGGTAATCATAATCATGATTAACAAATGAGACTCCTGCTTTGCAGTCATGTGATTTTGTTAATCACTTGCATAATTATGGACTGAACTGGACTCCACTCAGTCATATTAACATTATTTAATTGTTTTTGCAAGTTTTGTGTCTTTTCACTTCCCATTAAAACTTAGCCACCAGTTGTAGATTTTAACGTGCAGTTTTTTTCCAACTAGAATATGGTATTAGCATTTCAGGGGACAGGTCCTACTTTTAAATCCTCTCCTAACCTTTTATATATGAATGGAAGATCCATGCCTTACAAAAAAAGGTGCCAATTTGCTGCCTATAGTATTTCCTATTCTTCATATCCTTTAGATATGTATGGTCTGGAAGATGGCGGAATACCAGCAACATTTTTTGTACTTTACATGATTGGTTGGAAGCCTCATGACTCTCAGGTAAGGAAGAACTATGTTCGTCTTTGTTGATCTAGATATTAGTATCAACAGTACACTCTGTGTTGGAATTTCATTGATTAAGAATTTTAATATGTGGGACTGCCATTAAGAATGACAACTTCACTGTTTTTTTGGTGGACTGTTCATTCTTTAGTTTTGTTTTGCATGCACAAATTTTTGTGGCAATTAATATTATTGTCATGAAAGGCAGAGTTTTTGCAGCATTTATTTTTTAATTAATTTTTTTTCTACTGGAACCTGTGTTTGAGATCAAGGACATTGTGCAAACAATCTACACAGTATTCTTTAACCCTTTAACTCCTGTGAATGACCAAGACAGAATTTCTCCTTACAATAGCATTACAATATCAAGCAGACTAGTGATGAGTATGAAGAAAAATATCAATAAGAAAAATATTAACTGATCAAATGCCAAATTCTCTACACTAAAAGCATAAGAACTGTCATTACTAAGTGATATCTTGGGAGTGAAACTAACTGCTCCATTTTTTCCAGGTGTACAATCAAAAAATTAAAGCAAGATTACTATATTAAACTCATTGTTCAAAGTACCAGTAGTATTGTTAGTAACCTTAATTAAATCAACAGTGATTTGTTGTTTTCAGCAAAAAGCTGCTACACGTGGGTCTGCAACAGCAAGTTTTGGGGACATATCAAGTTTGAATAAACCAAAGGAATAGACTGATCCAGTTTAATACCTCATCAACTGTTTTTTATTCACTCTGGTGGTTCAGAACTTCAAGTTTATTTTGGAAAAAGCTTGTCATACAACAAAATTCCTTGATCCAAGAGGGTTTCTAAACAGATGTCCTCCACTCTCTGTCAGTGTGGAAATAACAGGCACAATTATACATGGATTTTGATTTGGTTTACCTGTGATCTATTGTAGATGGGTGATACAGGTGGAGGACAATAAAAAAAATGATGTTGGAACTCAGTAAAGAGTGACCATGACTGCTTAGTAGAGGTGACGGCTTTGAAGGGTGAAAATTAGCCATAAAGGGGAAACAAATTTTGGACTTTGACAACTGACCCCTTAACCCTTTAAGTCCCACTAGTGACCAAGACAGAATTTCTCCTTACAATATCAATACAATGGCAACCAGATAAGTGATGAGAATAAAGAAAAATATCAATTTGGGGGTAATTAGTTGATCCAATACTAAATTCTCTGAACTAACATCATGAGAATTGTATGGTTGACAGTAAGGAGAATTACAACTTTGATCTGGGAGTTAAAGGTTAATACAGGGTGACCAATTAATACCGTGCTACTTACTACAGGTTTGACTTTAAATTGCGACAGTTTCAAGGCAAAGAGCAACAGTTTGACTGCACTTTGTGTGTCACTGTTCTGTTCTTATCACACTTTGGACTAGAAGCAGTCCATCCATTTTGTTGAGGTCTACCGTGCAAGTGAAAGAAATGAGCAAGTAAAAAAAAAGGATTTTGGTGCACTGCGGAACAATTAGGGAGTAAGGGCACATCATCTGTAACCTAGAACTGTACTGTTGTTACTTACAGTTGTCTCTATGAAGCATGTCAAGATCATAACTCACAACCAATAAAAAACACATGTTTAATCAATGGGTAATAAAAATAAGCTTTTATTACTTTCTAAAAATTATCAAAAGTGCAGAATAAAATATTAATCATACTTGTAATTTACCACATATTGCAGAATGACTACTAAAGGAAAAAACCTAACACTGAATTATTTACACTGTTTCAGTATCAACCACAAAATAATTAGATGCTTCATTTGCAAAAATTTGCAAGGTGGTACAGTGTGCTACATGAATTAAAATTCCAACTTTTGACAGTTTTTTTACAGTGCAAGTGATGGACAATGTTTTATTTTCAAGAACTTTGCGGCAATGTACATTTACTTGTCTGAACATTTCTGTTCATTATGAAACTCTACCATTCAACATAATCATTTTTTTGAAACAAGTCACTAAGGATTATTTCTGTTCTATTTTTAGCTGATTATATTACCTGTTATTACAAATTCTACCTATAAAAATTACTGTTGTGTATGCAAAATACTTTCAAATATTGAAATCAATTGAATCAAATTGGGTTTTAAACATACAGACTTATGGTACAACAAAACCAAACACAAACTTCTCCATATCATAGTGATACCATGAAAGGTAATTTAGTGTTAACAACTGGGTTGAAAACGTAAATTAGCCACCGTAAAGGGTAAAAAAGCTGACGTTTCGAGCTCTGACGAAGGGCTAACGCTCGAAATGTCAGCTTTTTTACCCTTTATGGTGGCTAATTTACATTTTCAACCCAGTTGTTGACACTAAATTACCTGCTATACTCTCCCACCGACGCAGCACCACAGTTTCTTTAGAAACTTACCCCTTTATTCATTTGATACCATGAAACTTTGAAATCTTTGAAAACTTCAACTATCTACTGTACTCCAAATTAACCTTTTGACTCCCAGACATGATAAACATACAACTTCTCCCTATAATATCCATACAATAACCAGTAAACAGGTAAAGAGAATAATCAAGCTTATAGAGTAGTTGTTATCTTGATCTAACACCAACTTCTTCTTTACTAATTTACAAGGAAATGTGTGGGAGCAAGAAGGGAGAATTGACAATCAGATCTTAGGAGTCAACGGGTTAAGGGCCAACAAGCTGTAAGAAAACTAAACAGCAAACAGGGATGGTAGCTAGTTTGTTGTTTTGAGATTTTCTCTTAACTTATTTCATTTACACAATTGACCTGTCAGAATAAATTCAAAGTGTTCATGGTTTTTTGAGTTTCACAAGGATGAGTAATCCAAAGAATAACTGGGTAATTTAGTTCTAACAACTGAGTTGATAATTTAACTGGCCATTGTAAAGAGTTTGAAAGCTCATTTGCTCTGACACAGGGCTAACACTTGAAACATCAGCTTTGGCAACTCTTTACAATGGCCAATTCACATTCTCAACTCAGTTGATAATAATAAATTACCCTATTATACTCTCCTACTAACGCAACACCACAGCTTCTTTACAAACCTACCCCCCCCCCCCTGAAGAATAACTGTTACAGTACTACTATTTAAAAATAGCTAAATAGAAAAAATTACTTTAGATGTCTGGATTTAACACCTATGAAAGACTAGGCCTGAAAATAGGATAATTTTTTTAATTTCTAAAAATAAATTTAGTAAATTTGATGACCTAAGAAGATTAATACTACAAATGAATATAATTCACTTGGCAGACAAAGGAACCAAGTAATACTTACAAAAAAAAAATTTTAATCAACATTGAAATGCCATTCTACAACTCATTTCTACAGCATTTTTTCTTGAAAGGTCAGGCCTGGAAAAATATAATATGGCATGGACTGCTCAAAAAAAAGGAAAAAAAACTGTTGCAAACAACTAGCTCTGGAAATTTGGGGCCTAACATGTGAAGGCTGTCTCCAGTAATCATGGATTGTAGTCCTTTTGTGCAGTAGTAAGCTGTTAAGTACAATGACACTGTTCTCACTTACATGTTGGTTAAGTGGATTGTACCATAACTAGGAATTGAAAATATCACACTTCATTCCTTGATAATGCTCTTACGCTTTAAAAGAAGATTGTAAAAATCAGCTCTAAGAACAAATTTCAGTCATCTCAAACTGTAACAGTTTATTCCAATTTGTGGAATTAAACATTTGCAGAAGTTTCAAGCCACATGCACAGAGTGTCATCATTACTCTCCATACCAGATTTTTGAAGACAGCCTTAAAATTTCAGCAGGTAACTAACAAAATTTAATTACCAGAGACAGCTAGCATGGTTGTTTTCTGAAGAATGCATAAATTAAGGATTATTAAAAAACAAACAGCAAAACTTGCAGCAACAGAATAATGTTACAATAATTATCATCAGTGATAATATCACACTCTTCAAATATTTGATCAACATGGCTTTGTTATGACGGTATGTTGCTTCCCTTCTCTGGGTTGAATGAAAATTGTTCAAAAGCTTCACTTTCCTCAGCAATGTCTGGGAGATCTCCTGCAAAAGATTTTTGTAAAAATGTGGTCATTTTTGTGTGATGTTGATTGCTATTAACCCTTAACCCTTTCACTCCCACAAGTGACCGAGACAGAATTTCTCCTTACAATATCAATACAATATCAAGCAGGCAGGTGATGAGAATAGAGAAGAATATCAATTATCGGATTATTAGTTGATTCAATACCAAATTCTCTGAACTAACATCATAAGAATTGTATAGCAGATAGTAAGGAGAATTATTGATTAGATCTTGGGAGTGAAAGGGTTAAATCCTTAAGAGCGACTGGCACCTAATTTCTCTGTACCATATCAACCCTGAATCCAACATTAAGGTACAAGAATAAAGGATGTGATTGCCCATCCAAAGATGCTCTTGATTGCTAGACAAATTCTCCTTGTCAGCACCTTAGGAAATGCTTAGAGAACAGTATGGAGAATATGCCTACTGATGTTAGGATGTAAAGGATTAAATAAATATGATTTCAAGAATGGGACAGATGAAAAGCAACTCAAGCTGGCAGTAATGTTCATGACCACACAAAAGCAAAATTGAAGCTCATTCAAAACATTGTTATTCAACATCCCTGTTTTCCATGACATTATCATTGATGTCATCACCATTATCATCATCATCATCATTAATGCTGCAGTCATCAGATGTAGAAACAATCTTTCCACATGCAGCATCCCACATTTGTTCTTTTAATAACAATAAATTACAGTACATATGTTAACCCTTCAACCCCTTAGTGTGACAGCTTCTAATTTCCCCTTACAGCATCACTCTTGAATCAAATGTATACATCATGAGATTAAAGGAAATGATCACAAATTTAAGATGCTCATGATTGTCAAACAAATTCTCTTTTTCGTTACCATAGGAAATTTACACTGTAGAGACATTGATGTAGAGAATATAAATCTTAATGTTAGGCTGTAATGGGTAAGATTTTGTGAGTGAAACAAACAGCTTTTAGACAAAAACATTGGACTGCTTGCTGATTGTGGTCAAAGTTTCTATTAAATTATAAAGCCAAGAAATACACTCATTTTAAATTATCAGTGAAAGCAGATTTCTTATTGTTTTTTCATTTAAAACATGAATAATCTACATGTGCCTACTGGAATAAATTAACAAGTAAACTTGCTATTGCTAACTCTACTTGATGCTTCAGTTCCCAGGAGTGATTAACATGTAACTTCTCCCTATAATATCTAAACATTATCCAGCAAAGGGGTAGTGAGAATACTCAAACTTATCAGGTAGAGGTTATTTATTACCTTCAACTGACAATAAACTTTTGTAAACAATTTACAAGGAAATGTGTAGCAGCTAAAGAGGAGAACTGACAATCAGATCTTGGGAGCTCAAAGGTAAAAATACTTTAAATTTATCTACTTCCTATACCTTCTGGAGGTGTGAGTTGGGGTATTTCCTTTGTGAAGTCCTCGTCAAAATTTGATACATCTGTCGGACTCTTGACAGTGGGCCTGAAAGGTGGTTTTACCTGCATGTTGCAAAAAACAATTAGTTAACTCCCACGAGTGACCAAGACTGAATTTCTCCTTTCAATATCAATATAATATCAAGCAGACAAGTGATGAGAATAAAGAAAAATATCAATTGGGGGATTATAAGTTGATCCAATACCAAATTCTCCACACTAACAGTATTGAACAGTATGGAAGACAGTAAGGAGAATTACTAATGAGATCTTGGGAGTTAAAGGGTTAAACAAACAGTACCATAAAACAGTGGCATGCTGCAATGATTGGTTGCTCGTTTGTATTGTAAGTTTTATTACCTTTTTGTTCAATATGTCATCCCAGTTAATTGTTTCAAAAAATATATGTTTCATGACTTCCTTTGCATCATCTGGACCACCTCCAAGACTGAAAAAGAGACATGACAACACAGTCAGTGATCATTTGAGATAAAAAATAAAAAAAAAAGATTTTCCAGAAACCCTTCAAGAACAAATTCTACTGAAATGCATCAATGACTTTTCAGTGTTTCATTTCCCAGGGTTTAAGGAACAGAAAAGTCACAGGTGAATAATATTTGCTAATCACTTCTGAACTAGCCAATCAGAGTGTGCAAAAAACACTATTCAACTGTGTGGTGTTTGCAAAGTATCCCTATTGCAACAGCATGGTTGTATTATTATGATCATTGTTCTGACCGTTGTGTAGGGCTTTTTTCTAGGAGTCCAGAGAGGACACTTCTTGCATTATCAGTAATTCTCGCTGGAAACTTTACGTCCTCCTGTTAACAGAAAACGGACCCTTCAAAATTATGAAAGACATATAATTATTATAATAACTACTGAATATTGAAAGTTCTCAACAGACCTGAGGAAGTATGTGTATGTTTCAGAGACCCTTTGATTTTTATCTCTGCCATTGAAAAGTAGATGACACTGACTGCATTTTGAATCTCTACAGAGTAACCAAGCCTTTCAAAGTTATCTTCAAAATTAGACAAAGGATTAAACAGATTTTAATCTTGCTCAGCAACCTGACCCCTTAACCATGTCCTCTTTTTAACCAATCAGATGCAAGAATAATCTGCTCCCTTCTTGGTTATCTGTATGGCAATTTCTCACCCTGGAAGCTCTTTTAGATTGTGTCTAATACCTCTAACTGGTTAATTGTGATGTTTTCCTCAAAAACTATGCTTTTGTGTTGATCAATTTTCTGTAAGATTTACTAAACCAAATATAGTACTGTTAGTAACATTAATATGTGTAATAGTAAACAAGTCAAATTGACTTAAAATTAACAGGGTAATTTAGTGTTATCAACTGAGTTGATAACATAAATTGGCCATTGTAAAGAGTTTCAAACTAGTGTTTCAGGTGTTAGCCCTTCATCAGAGTGAATAACTAAAATTAGCCTATTCCAGGTTTTCAGTCAGTAAAATGAGGTGCAACAGTAAACAGCACGATAGTGGTGAAGGAGAGAAAAGACGAGGGAGGTTTGCATCAGTTTTTTTGTGACCCAACCCACATACTTCTTGTTTCTTCACTCTTCTGCTACTGTCATGTTTTGTTTTACTAACTGAAACCCTGAAACAATCTAACTAAACATCTACACCCGAATCCGTACCGTCAGGATAAGTTCAAAGAGAACTTCATGATCCCTGTTGTAAAATGGTAGACGGCCACACATCATTTCGTACATGACCACGCCTACTCCCCACCAATCTACAGCGTGACCATAGTCATTGTCTTCCAGCACCTTTTGTAATAACAAACAAAAATCATGAAAACATTCAAGTCAAGTAACTCAGAAGTGTAAATCTTGCCTGTAAAATTTGATTTTTGAACCAACCTTTTCAAAATTCAATACTTTTCCCAGACTTCATCAAAACTGTTATTAATTCATTTTCCAGACTGACAGTCATAGGTAAAACTGTTAAACCATTTGTTTTGCTTGAAATAGTTAGAGTAACTGTTGTAAAGGGTTTGTGGCAATTGAAAACTGTCTAAAACTGTCAAGCTGTTGAAAACTTTGACTCAAAAGTAAAGGAAAAGTCTGTATTAGAGACAAGTGACCCATCCAGCCAGAGCTTATTCTGGTTTCCATAGCATGAAATGACTAAGAGCATTACTACTCCCCCCTGGATGGGATGCCAATCCATTTCAAGGTTACTCCCCAGCATTTCATCAAGCTTCCCTGACAATTTTCCAGTACCAATTTACACTCATGGGTGGAGTGATTGAGGCTCTGTGAAAGTAAAGTGTTTTGCCAAAGAACACAACACAATGACCTGGCCAAGTCTCAAAACTTATACACCCCCCTCCCCTCCCCCAAACCCAGATTTCAACACATTAGCCATTTCTTAAGCCACCCTGTCTCCTACTTGACCCAGAAGTAAAGCATGTCAATTCATATACACCTTATAAGCCCAGCAATTATGCATGCATTGCAGCTTGGAAACTGCAGATTTCTACACACCAGACATTTGCAAGAATATATCTCTGAATTTTTTTCAGGCCTTATTTTCACTACTGCTTATTAAGTAGTGTTCATTACTGCGGAGATCTCTCTCATATTCACTTCTTTATCTGCAGTTCACATATATGATTTTTATATATTTGCAGTCATTTATTCATCACTCAACAGGTTTATTTGGAACCAACATTATGATCAGCTTTCAGTTGGCTTGTTAGCTTAGTTGGTAGAGCACTGCATTGGTATCACAGAGGTCACGGGTTCATATTCCATACAGGCCTGAATTTTTTTCTTTCAGGTCTTGTTTTACACTGGTTATTTAAGTAGTGTCAATTACTGCAAAGATCACTCTCATATTCACTTCTTTGCCTGCTGTTCACATATATGATTTTCATGTATTCACAGTCATTTACTCTATCTCTGGAATACTTGTAGTTCTCTCCATGTTCTTAAAATTTCCCTACTTTCTCAAGAATTTTGCCATTCATTCCAACTACAGATAAACTGACCTCTGGAGCAAGGTATTCAGGAGTACCACAGAAAGTCTTTGTGGTTGATCCATATGTGATGTCCTCTTTACAGAGACCAAAGTCAGTGAGTTTAATGTGACCATCTGAATCTAGAAGAAGATTTTCAAGCTGTGAAAAATAAAAGAAAGTAACAGATTTAAAATTATGCCAAAAATCAGTGCAGCAAAAAGATAATAGGCCAAGGATGTGAAGGACTATGTACCATACCTTTAGATCTCTGTAAACCACTTTGTGTTCATGAAGATACTTCACAGCCAGAATAATTTCTGCGGCATAAAACCTTGAACGGTCCTCAGAGAAGACACGTTCTTTAGACAAGTGGAAAAACAACTGAGGAGAAAACCAGAATTTAAACAGTTTTTTGTCTCTACCAGAAGTGAATGGCAAGTAACTTCCCATGTAACTCAAGCATGTTATAATGTCATCTTGAATCCCAAAGACTAAAGGGTGAATTTATTTGGTTTTACATTCATTTCTAGTTCTACTTGATATTTGTGGGCCATGTTTGCTATGTGTATACTCCCACACATGAAGAAATAAAAAATTTCTCTACATGCAGGTCTGTACCTTAAAGAAAATTAGAGAAAATAAGTGAACCCTGTGACTGCCAAGGGCAACTATATAGCACCTTATTTTCTCTGACAGCATCACTTCTGAATAAAATATTACCTAAAAAGGTCATGAGGATTGATAAAGGAAATGATCTCCAACAGAAAAAGCTTAACCCTTTAACTCCCAAGATCTTTTTAGTAATTCTCCTTACTGTCCACTATGAAAATTTATGTGACGTTACTTCTGAGAATTTGGTATTGGATCAACTAATAATCCCCTAATTGATACTTTTCTTAGTTCTCATCACTTATCTTCTTGATTTTGTATAGATATTGTAAGAAGAAATTCTGTCTTGGTCACTTGTGGGAGTTAAAGGGTTAAAATGATTGTTGCAGAAATTGTCTTTTAACAGTACCATTGGAAATGTCCAGGGCACAGTGTGGAGACTATTCACAAGGATCTTAGGGTGTAGAAGGTTAAGTGAATACACTTACCTCACCGCCATTCACATATTCCATAACAAATATTAATCTGTTTTTTGTTTGGAAAGAGCAACGTAGTTCCTGTAAAAAACAAGAAAACAGAACAAAAAGAATAGAAATAGTAAGAACACATGACTAAATGGAAATGTCATATTTATCATTTTTCTTATTGCAAGTCTGCTGACAGTTCTGTTGCTTATCATTATAGGCTTTCTAGACTTCCAAGTTTGGTAACTTAACCCTATAACTCCTAAGGGTGACTAGCATATAAATTCTCCTTACAATATCACCCCCAAATCCCATATAAAGGTCATGAGAATAAAGGAAATGGTCACCAACTGGAGAAGCTCTGGGTCAAGAAACAAATTCTCCTCATCAGCGTCTTAGGGAATGTATAGGGAACAGTAAGGAGAATATGCATACTGATGTTAGGGTGGAAAGGGTTAAGGTTGCGAGAATAAAAGAAATGATAGCCAACTTAAAAAAAATTGATCGTTAATCAAATTCTCTTTTTGCCAGTGCCCAGCAAAATATATAAAGAGTATAGAGAATATGGATACTGATTGATGTTAGAGTAAAAAGGGTTATACAGAATCTCAACTTACTGTAAGAAAAGGGTGAACTGTTGACTGCAAAACTCTGTTTTCTGTCAATGTATGTGCAACTTCATCCTGTAAAAGATAATATAGTTCAAGACATATGGTTTCAGCTTTCTAAAGATCTTCACAATTCTGTCCAAAAGCTGACCCAAAATTTGCGAAACATTATCCTTGATTCTTCTTTACTCCTCACTAGTCATCCATGTCTAAAATCTTCTTCATACTTTTCCATACCGATTGCTTTTTGGTTTGTTGCTGGCAAAACAAATTTACCATCATTATGTACAATTTACTTATCATTATGTGAATTGAGTACAAATGGGTACCACCAAAATGTCAGGGAAGCCTGATAAAATGCTACCTTAAGATGGACTCGCATGTCATCCAAGGGGGAGTGGCAATACTCCCAGTCCTTGCATGCTATGGAAACTGGGATGGCCACTTGGCTAGAATACAGACTTTTTGTCACTGAGGTATTAACCTCTCATGGTTTTAGAGAATAGACCATTTTACAGCTCTGAATTAGTTGCCAAGCCTTTGATTTGGAGTAAGGCTGAAGGTGACCTTGTTGTGATAGAGACCAAGATCTAGTTAGCATGATAACATAGTAATTTACATTTGAAAAGCAGCTAGGTTTGTATCATAACAAGGTCACCCTTAGCCTCACTTCTGTTCTGGAAATGTAAAATGGACTATTTGGTGTAACATCACTATTAAGTAGAGTGACCTTTACCTCAGAAAGTGAAAAGAATAACATAAAAGTCTCTTTATAAATATTGCATTGCAGCTCCCCTAGCACCACATAATCGTGTACGTTTCACTCAAGAAACAAAGTTTGACATAAAAGAAGGCTGAGTTAAAATAATTCCATACTTTGGCGACAATAACTTCTTTCTTTAAAATCTTTAGTGCAACCACTTCCCCAGTCCTCTTCATTGCAGCCATTATAACCTTGCCAAATGTTCCTTTTCCCAACACCTTAAGCAACTGGAAGTCCTCTATAGTCTAAATGGGAGATAAAAGAAATAAAAAATGAAATTAAAACTCATTAAGTAAACAAAAGTTATTATTTTTTAAATCATAGGTCCAAGTGACCAGCATCTAATTTCTCCTTACAGCAATACTGGTGAATCATTCATTACGATCATGCAAATAAAAAAATTGATCACCAACCTAAAAGCTTTGATTGTTAAACAAATTCTCGGATCAATATCAGTATCTGGGCAACTGCCCACCTTCCCCTCCCCTAACCCAACAACAATCAATTGATAACAAGTTAAGTTAAGGTTAATATTGGGTTAGGGGAGGGGTAGGTGGGCAGTTGCCCAGATACTGATATTGATCCAAATTCTCCTTGTCAGTGGCAAAAGAAGCTATAGAAGAGAGTATAGAGAATATGAGTACTGATGTAAAGGTGTAAAGGGTATTTTCATGTTATTAGACAAACTATTGACCACGTACCATTTTTTGGTTATCTACACTTCCTATAGTAATTTCTTCTGACTTGTCACTTTCACGCAACTTATCGGCAACTTCTTGAATTGCAGTTATCCACTCCTCCCTTAAGAAAAAAAAAAGATTAAACAAGCACTTTACTTGATGCTTTAAGTTTATCTCAAAGCAGGGTGAGAGATCATTAAAATTGTCCTAATAAGCTCTCCATCTGGAGCTTCGAGTTCCTTTAAATTATGCAGAACCTCCATCAAGTGGACACCCTTGAGACCTTCTTAAGTGTCCTCTTAGTAGAGGGTTTCCACTTAGTAGAGAATGTTTGCTTAATAGAGGTTTGTAAAAATTGCACAATGTTTGTTAACAATTAACATTCAATAGTTACAACTCTGTACGGTGGTAAAGTTCCATGTTGTTACCAAAGCTATCCAGAGTTCAAGTTCGTTACCTTTGATCACTAACTTTAATTTGTTAGTTATAATGCAAAAACATAACAGCAAAACAGCAATGATAATAGATGCAGTACATTGATTCTTTCTTTTGGATTGAATACATTTAATCTGCTATTCCAAGGATGTAATCCCATACACTACATTGTCAAAACAGTCTGCTTTCCCCTTAGTAGAAGTTGTTATCTTGATCTAACACCAAATTCTCGTGACTTATTTACTAGGAAATGTGTGGCAGCTAGAGGGGGGAATTAGTAATTTTGGGAGTTAGAGGGTTAACTATAAATATCAAGCTGATAAGTGATGGGAATAAAGAAAATATCAATTGCAGGAATTTAGTTGATCCAATACCAGATTCTCCAAACTAACATTAAAAAAAATTATATGGTAGAAAGTAAGGGGAATTAGTACTGAGATCTTGGTAGTCAAAGGTTAACATAGAAGTGAACCTCAATGGGTACAATTTTGTGCAAACCTTTCATTAGCGTCATCCAAATGGAAAGTCCTTTCTACGAGTGTTGTCCACTGCCAGCACCTGTTGATTTACCATAATAAATTAGATCAAAAACTGTTTATTTTAAACCATGAAATCTGTTTGAAGCTACTCTACACTGGTGAAAATTTACATAGCAAGGCAATCTTCCTCCTGGATTACAATCTGACCACCAGTACTAGCTTGTGACATAAGAACATCTTGAAACAGGGTAAGTCAGCTTAATTAAGTAGTCTACGCTCAAGCCAGAGATGGTACTGTTACTATCCCTGGATAGAACGTTGGTCCATCACAGGTTTCATGCACACCCCCATCCCTCAGTATTATGTAAGACTTCCTTGACAGTTTTTCAGTACATAAATTATTTATATTCCTTGGTGGAGAGAGGCATTGTGACAATAAAATAATTCACCCAAGATCCCAAAAAATGACACTGGAACAAACTAGGACACCTTGGTCAGATCCAGTCTGTACAAACTAGCAATTGGCCCTAACTTTCTCCTGTAACAGGGGTGAGATTGGTATAAATGCCTTTTCCAGTCTAAACTTTGCTGAAATCCCATCACAATATTTATTACAATCATTAATCAAAAGTTCTTTTTTTTTTTTCCCAGTCTCTTTGAACCAAATACCATTTTCCAGGTAAAAGGAACAATTTCACAGCAAGTCTCAGTTATCATTTTACTCCTTTAGGCCCCAGGAATAAAGATAACTGTTAAACCACAAATACCTCATGATGAAACAGTTGGGTTTTGGTCTCTCTTGTCTCATTATCTGGCACTCTGAAGAAACAAATAACAAGGATCACAAAAGAACCTTGATTAACTGAACCTCTATGTAACAAAGTCCTCTATAAAACAAACAATAATCTTCAGCCTGGCCAAAGTTACAGTAAAATGTATGGGTAAGAACCTTAACAGCAGAGCTCGCAGGGCGTAGCCCCATAATTATACGAAATAGTAGTAACCCATCAAGCTGAAAAAATTTTGGATGTACGACCGTACAACCGTACAAGGTGCTACTTTTAACATGCATGGTCAATTGTACTGCAGGCACGCCAACACCATGGCTTTGTCCAGTAGTCCAGTGGTCAGTGCACCGGGCTCTGAGTTGGACGACCTGGGTCCTAGTCCTAGCTGGGGCAAGGTGTTGTGCCCTTGAGACATGCGGGAAAAAAAAATGCAAGCACTGCTTTTAGGCTTAGCTAAATCTGTATATTATATGGAACCTTGATAAAATGAAATCCTGGTTATATCAAACAAAATCCAGAAGCCGGTAAAAGGAGTAACAGGCAGGAATTTCCAGGTCAATGCTATTGTCTCTTAGTTTGCTGGTGACTTTCATTGAAATTTGTCCTCTCTGCTTTAAAAGCAAAGTGCTGTAGCAGTGTACAGACCTGTACAGTGTACTGTAGTAGCTTCATAAAGACATTTAAACACAAATGTTATTTACAGTGATTTTTCTGATCCCAAAATGCTGAATAGCACAATGTCACACCACAAAAAAAAAAAAAAACCCAACAACAACAAAAGTTAACAACCATCCCTTGATATAGCAAACATTAAGATTTTCAATATAATGAACCCTTAAATATAACAAACCAATTTCCCCAGTCCCTTGGCACTTAAATCGAGGTTCCACTGTACAACAATGCTGTACACTAATTTAAAGCTCTCACTTTCAAGAATGATCAGATATGAACTTCTCCTCACAATATTAATGTATTTTTAAGAAGATAGGTAAGGAGAGGTAATAAAAATATCACTTAGGGAATATTCTTTGATTTAACATCAAATTCTCTGATATAAAATTATAAGAAATGTTTAGAAGACAGTTTGGAGAATCTTCATTCAGATCTTGAGAGTGACAACCACTATCTTACTCTGCTCTCTGTCTTGATGAATTAGAATTTATTATAAAATAATAATATCTTCAATTAATGATTTCAAAACCCAAGCCATCCTGTACATATTTTTGAAAAGTATGATGCAATCAAAGAAGAACAATCATATTTGATAACAAAATAAACAGCAGTGATTGCATACAGCATAATCCTCATCACATTGCCTAAAAAATATCTGTTTAAAAGTAAAATGTTTGCTTGTGAGGTGGAGCCATAAGTATGGTAAATGTTTGTAAAAAGGGAATATTTGTACTTACTGGCAACCGAGAAGTTATTAAGAGGTTCAGTGTCTTTTGATTTAGGAAGTTCCTTGTAACCAACAAAACTACCATCACTCCAAAGCTGAAAGTATCTTGGTCTCCAGTTTTTTATGTATTCACCTAAAAAAAAGATTTCAAGTTTTAATTAAACAAATCAAATGTAGAGAGAGATGTTTTCTCTCTGTCCCACACTTGTGATAAGATGAAAAAGATCTTTCTGTATTTCTTTACCAAGCCCCAAACTTACAATCTTTCTTATTTTATATAAACATGACACTAACGACATCACTAATGAACAGATGCATGGCAACTTGGAATCTATTTGTTTTATATAATAAAGAATTAAAAAAAGTTTTAATGATGACATCATCTATGCGTCTGTCCTCCATTAGACATAAGTGAGAACCAATCAGAATGCATGCATAACTGAGCTTATTATATAAACAGATGTACATACCTCTCTTTTGAATCCATCCTACTTTTACTATGGTGGCATCAGAGCTTGGCTGGCTACTGGTTGACATTGTCTAGTTTAAACAGATAAAAAAAGGACTGTTGAGAGTTCTTGAATATTATCTAAGGAATAGTTTGCTGATACCAACACTTTTGAAAACCCTGACAAAATATGGTTTATCAATAGTACTGCACAAAGAAGTATATTTTATAGGGCTTTATATGATGTTCAGAGAAATGCTTGAGCTGTGATTGGTCAGAACGAGTTCATTATATTTTCATAAATCACGCGCCTTACATCACATGAGTGCACTGTTGAGATATAGTGCATGTAGCCTACATCATCAGTGCGAGCGCATGCAATTCACAATATATTTTATAAAAGAAATAAAAAAAACTTGTTCCTCAAGCATTGTTGATTTATATAAGCACTTGAGAATTTTTAGGAACACTTGAGAAGTGCAAGAAGCACTTACCTTTGGCTTGTACTTCTCCACTCTTCCCTCTTGTTTTTAAAAATTCCCGTGTGCTTGTAAAACTCAACAATGTACTAAGTATGTTTGTTACTTCTTTAATGATTTGTTTTACATTAAGTGCATATCTTTTAATCCCCATGCTAACCACTAGTATTGATAATAGGTTATATCCTCTGGATGCCATTAAATGAAATGTCCTTAGAAGGTATGAACAGTTTGTCTTAGGAATTTTCCACAAAGTCCAATACAAAGTAGAACAATACAAAAATTTACGTCAAGGAAATAATGCTGTCATGGTAATATCAATGAGATTTCATTAAATCAAGCTTTATGTTACAAATATAACCTAGTGAAAACAAATTATAAAAACTTTACTTGGCAATATTATAAGTTATATTCCTAATAATCTCAAAGCTATACCAAGAAATAACGAATTTTGATACATCTTCAAAATTACAGTTCTAATTGAATTTGAATGTTAATGTTAATTTAAAATGCTTATGAAAATATATCAAAGTTTAAATAGGGAGGTTCCTCCTTTGTCTCCCACTTACTACGGAAATAATTTTAGACACAATTCTCATTCGAAGACAATAACGATAAAAATTGGCAAGCCAGTGGCCCGAAAAAGTTTCTGTAACCCGTCCCTACAGTTACGGTTTGTTTGAATCAATTATTATAATCAACTGCGTTCCTTATCAATAGCATTGTCTTATAAATTCTTGCAACAATTACCGAGGATTGTCCCAAAAACAGCTGTTTACAAATACGAGAAGACAGAGTTTTTGACCTTCGGTTAGACGGTTACCGACTAAGATGATTAAGATACAAAAATAAGTCGATCAACTGCTCAAATCGACCGCAGTATACACGTACAGGTTGTTTCTTTTATTCACGATTCACGTTCGCGTATAAATATTAACATTGGCTTTCGGAGAGTAATAATTTCATTTCCATTTTT